TCCTTAACCCCACGGCTACTCCACTCTATTCTTCGTCTTTCTCTTCTTTCTTGAATCATTCGAACTTCAATACGCGGTATTTCGCTTCTGATTCTCATTTCATTTCTCGTCATTTGTTTGCTTGTCAAGAGGAATCAAACTAACCAGAAAAAGCCTACGTTGGGTATTGATTAAACTTTGTGCAACTTTCTTCTGTTTAAACTTAAGTTTTTGTTTTTCCTTCTCTGGCTATTTCAGAAGTCAGAATGTCTCTTCGCCAGCGAAAAGCCTGGGTGTATGTAAATGCGTTGCTGCACCCCAAGAATCGCAGACTGGTACCCTGAAGCCTTTTCTATTTTGTAGCTTTCTCTGCTTCCCTATATCAATGTGATTATGAAGTAATTGCATGCAGATGCTTCTTCATTTCTTTACTCTGTTACTGACTTCTGGGATTGAACCCCATGCTATAAGTTCGAGTACTTGTGTTCTTGATGAATAGGTCCAGCCAGCAATCCTTCTAGTTGAAAGTTTAACTATATAATTGCTCCCAATTTTTCTTTTCAGTCTTCTCTGTCGAAATAATCGACTATTTAGTTACTAGAACTTCTTGGAGAAATGTATATAAAGCATGTGTAAACAAATGATCTTCGTTGTCTAGAATTAAGATGATTCCTCCCTTGTCATGTCGAAGGCTACAGGACTAATGTCTCTCGAAATGCAAACATGGCTAAACTTCAAGCTGGTTATCTCTTTCCAGAGGTCTGTAATGCCACGGCATATTTTTTGCTTTTATACCAGAATTTTGAAAATTAATTTATCTCATTTGACTCCAATATGATATGTAACATGGCGCTTTCCAACTTTTATTTTAGTTGAATGAATATTTATCCTCAATTTTACTGTGGAGAATAGGTTGCGAGAAGAAGATCTGCACTCTTGCTAAAGTACCCTGACTCAAAAGTGATAAGCTTGGGAATTGGTGATACTACTGAACCCATTCCTGAAGTCATAACTTCTGCAATGGCAACGGTACACAGCTTTTGATTATATGAAGTTGATGCTTCATTGAACTCTGTTTTCTTTTTATAAGCGACTGCTTTTTTCTATTAAAGTTGGAGCTTGTTCAATAATTATGTGTGGATCATAGAAGTAGGTTAAGTCAAGTAATTGTCAAGTGCTTCTTTTCATTGTGCTAACTCTACTTTCTCAGCAGCAAGGACTAGTATAATCCCTTCCATTCTTTATTGATTCTGTTCGAGTATTTTTTTTTTTTTTCAGATTGTAATTAAGTTTTGAAATTACTTGTGATATAGGTATGCTGTATACAATGTTCCTATTTGATTCAAGAGAAAACACTTATGATATGTGATATTTTTGTTACTCAATAAAACCAGTGCTTTTCCTGTTGCTAACTGAGCGTCAAAGTATTTTTCCTCAGAAAGTAATTCATTAGCTACCATCGAGGGTTATAGTGGTTATGGAGCATACGAAGGTGAAAAGGTATGTCACATTGACTTGATCTAGAGGCATTATCAGTGCTTTTTCTTACATATCAAATGCACGTTGTGGCCATGCCAAGATTTCTATTCATGCTGATAGTTTGGGAAGACCAATATTTCTCTCATTTTCAGCTAACAAATCCCATGCATTATTATCTGGGTAAATTAGGGCATTATTTTTTGAAGTGTCAAGTGAAAAATGAGTTTATAAAATAAGCATGCTTCTTATCCAAAAAATCTTTTGGCAAGAAATTTTATAAGCACTTGGTGAATTTAAACTCAAGTTTTGATTATCTAAAAAAACGGAAAAATAAGCTCAAGTTTTGTCGATGGCTATTGAACTTGTGCCTTAATGTGTTTGGAAGTTGTGTATTCCACCATAAATTCTCACTTAAACCAAGAAAAAAATTAGCAAAGCATCTGGATTTCTTTTGAAGTTTTTAATATCATTTGTTTTCTCTGATCATAAAATTGCTCTGATATAGCTAGAGAACATTATCATTGTACAGTAATTGAACACAAATACAATCCTACGGGCAAGTCTTATTGTTTGTTCTTTCAGGAACTTAATAAGATAAGATGGAAGGCATTTGATAATGGAATCATATAGTCACCCTATTTAGATTTTCATTTAAGTTGAAGCGTATATTAAAGAAATTTATATTATTTGAAGAGTGACAAGTGTTTCTAATCTATGCAGCCATTAAGAAGGGCAATTGCTTCAACATTTTACACTGATCTTGGCATAGAGGAAGATGATATATTTGTCTCAGATGGATCAAAATGTGATATATCTCGCCTCCAGGTTTGATTATGATTTTACTTTTTCTTCCCCTTGTCAATAATTTACTTTCTTAACATGGTCGATGTTAATGGGGAGCTTTCAACAGTGACTAAGTTCTTTCTAATTGCAATTAGTTCTTTCACTATTATTTCTACAGGTTGTCTTTGGCTCGAATGTGACGATGGCAGTGCAAGACCCATCATATCCAGTATGTTATGCTTTGCTTTTAAATATGATCTCATTAAAGTTGCTTATGCATGCCATTTCTGCTTTTAACATGGTTTTATTCTTTACCATTGCCCCATTGTTGCTCCATACTGGTGCTGACTGATTTCAGTTCGTTCATTTGGTTGTCATGCTCTTTGATGCAATGGAAAATGGTTTGATTAGCCATTGTCTACTTTTTTATTTAAAAAAAAATCAGGAAGAGCTTGAAATTTTACTGTTCTTGATTTGACTAGAAAAAACCATTGTATAAGAAAAACAGCTCTTGATTTGAAAACATGACACATGTAAACATGTGGTAATTATTGGTGTCTCTGGTTCACAAACTTCGGCGGGAATCATTTTTATATTCTTCTGCAGTCCTCTCGGTCCTGATATGCTGTATAAATGATTGCTGACAAAATAACTTGTGGCTGAATTTTACATATGTTTGAACTCTTGATGCAGGCCTATGTAGACTCAAGTGTTATTATGGTCAGACTGGCCAATACCTGAAGGATGCTCAGAAGTATGGAAGCATTGAATACATGTGGTGTAGTCCTGAAAATGGTTTCTTCCCTGATTTATCCTCTGCTTCAAGAACGGATATAATATTTTTCTGTTCACCAAACAATCCTACTGGTGCTGTAGCAACAAGGGAGCAACTAAGCCAACTAGTTCAGTTTGCTAAGAATAACGGGTCAATAGTAGTGTATGATTCTGCATATGCAATGTATATATCAGATGACAGCCCACGCTCCATCTTTGAAATTCCAGGAGCCAAAGAGGTCTGTGTATAATTAACAACTAATTCTCAAAGGCTACCGAGCTTTATGTTCAATCTTATCCCCTCTTTCTTATAATTTCTCACATTGTGATTTATCAACATGTTACATAGTTCTGATTATAAATATTAATTGGTTATCATAGAATGCATTGGATGGACTCTTATTGTCATATTCCAATTGAGTTGTGCTTGTTGCTGCATTATCTAAAACTTCAAATTTTTTTTTTGGACCACAATCTAGACCTTCAAATTATAACAGCGTAGGCATACTTGCTTTGTGTTTTTTGTCTCACGGTTGTGTCCACCATATTACTTTAGCAGCTTGGTTGTTAATCACCTTTATAAGGAAAATTCTTAAACATGATGGGATAATGGTGTCTAGCAAGAACTCCATCGAAGAAACTATTGGCCAAATAGTTTGTAGAAGATGGCTTAGGCTTTTGTTGTAGGCTAATATGTAATAGGGTTCAGTCAGCAAGCTGTTTCTAACCTTGAATACCTGGTCTGGTAGATTTCTGTGTCATAATGTTGTGTATGGAACCTTGTTGGCATTGCAGGTTGCGCTTGAGACTGCATCATCTAGCAAGTATGCCGGATTCACTGGAGTTAGACTAGGGTGGACTGTGGTTCCAAAGCAGTTACTGTTTTCTGATGGTTTTCCTGTTGCCAAGGATTTCAGCCGAATTATAAGTACTTGCTTCAATGGGGCATCCAATATTTCCCAGGCAGGTGGTCTGGCTTGCCTTTCACCAGAAGGCCTCAAGGTCAGTTATTATTTTTGCGCCAGTTTCTGAAGAAAGAATGCTACATAATTTAGCTAGTATGCTAATTTTGCTGAAAACGTTACATTTTGTATACAATTCTTTATACACTAGGGAAAAAATTACCACTCTCAAGTCTCACCCAATTAAAAAGAAGATAAAACAACAGGTTTGCCATGTCATATAGCACGATCCTTTGTAGCTAATGACAAACTGTTATAGCTTGCCTTATCAAGGAAGAAACAGAACTTGCTTGAAAATTTTGTGGGTTCTGAGGTGACCCTTGTTTTTCAATTACTTGGAGCACAAGGGAAATCTGGTTCAGCCTTTTGTAGAATACTTCTTGGGAGAAGTTACGCAATATACTCGCTAAATTTGGATGCAGGCTATGAAAGAGGTCATAGGATTTTATAAGGAGAATGCCAACATAATAGTGGAGACATTTGAATCTCTTGGTTTTAAAGTATATGGAGGGAAAAATGCACCATATGCGTGGGTCCATTTCCCTGGACGGGGGCTCATGGGATGTTTTCAACGAGATCCTTGAGAAGGCCCCTGTGGTTACAACCCCTGGCAGTGGTTTCGGACCTGGTGGCGAAGATTTTATCCGGGTAAGCGCGTTTGGTCACCGGGAAAATATTTTGGAGGCCTGCAGAAGATTGAAGGAGCTATACAGTTGAACTTAAGTTATCTCATTGGTTTCAAGCTTAACTCTCTCTTGAAATAATATCTTATAATGCGTTATGAATGGTTATGTATAAAAGTTTATCCTTATTATGTTTCTCTGCATTGCTTCATTCTGCACTTGGACGTTCTTGTGTTCTACTTTTGAGTGTGATATTTGCCATGCCCAAGTATCCTGGCAACATGCGAGGCCTACATATAATGCGTGCGCGTTGTATCAGACAATCATGTTTGAACCCAATCCTTATTCACGGGAATAGTTCCTGAATCTTAAAAACTTGTTGGCAAAGACAAACGAATCATACTTCTTGTAACAAAGGCACTTGGGAAGATATTTTAACCCTCTTATTTCATTCTTGACATATTCCATCTCCATTATGGCTTTTGATAACAAACCTGCCAATCTTCAAAGTTACTTTAGTTTACACATGCAGATTGATTAAAATGGAATAACTTTCTTACATAGCCAAAGTAATGCGTATATCGTTAAACTTGCGTCCCTAGAAGCTAACCATGCTAGTCCAAGTGACCTAAGAGTACAAAGTCAGACACCTAAAACTGTTCTACTATTACTAATCTCCGCTTTGCACGTTGTCTTGTAATGTCCAGTTTGATTACACCGACTACAATGCACTGTATGCTTCTCTCGATTAAGGTCCTCAACACAAATTCTTTTCTTCTCAGGGCGCCCTGGTGGTCGCCGAGATTTTGGTGGCCGTACAACTAGGGTTTTGTCATCAATGGAAGCCTCATCTGTTTTTCTCCATTCAAGTTTCTCAGGGATTGGATATATTTCCTCTGCATAGGTCTCCCTGTAACTAGCAGCAGTAAAACACTTCTCACTAAAAGCATAGACATCCTTTCTACATGAGATCAGAGCTGCAACAGCATGAGAACACGGTATTCCATATAGCTGCCAATCACGGCAGGAACAGCTACGATTACCAATATTTACAATATCTGAGCGATCAGCCGAGAGAACTTCAAATTCCACTTCATCTGATCTAAGGACTTGATATGTGGACGCACAACTAATAGCTTCGATCATTCGTTTCTCAGCAGATGGAGCGAGTACAGAGAACCATGAACTGCTCTTTAAACGCCTGTCATCAAACTCAGTCTTAAGCTTGTTATGAATCCGCTCAATCACCTGAATGATTGGCAATTCCCGGGCTTCAAAGATCCATCTATTGAACTGTTCAACGTTAGAGGACAAATGACCATATCGTGATCCTTCAAAATGTACTAGGGACCATTCAGAAGGGTGAAATTGCTGTAACCATTTAGCAGCTTCAGGAGAAACCTCCTCTATTTCAGCCATTTTTTCTCTAAAAGCAGAGGTTGTGGTGGCATATGCTGCCTTCCACAGAAGTTGGACAAGCCTAGAATTCTTGAACTCTTTGCCAATACTTTCACTTAAGTGACGCATGCAGTATGCATGAGAAGAATTAGGGAACTTCATTCTTACTGAATCCATAATACCTTTCTGTCCATCTGACAAAATATAATTGGTGGTATAGTTTCAGTATTCACCTCAAGCGTCTTGTGCAAGTGGGACAAAAACCAAGTCCAGCTTTCATCGTTTTCAACATCAACAACACCAAATGCAAGTGGGAACAACCCACCATCAGCATCAAATGAAGTTGCTGAAAGGAATGTGCTAAGATATTTGCTTTTCAGTTGGATAGCGCCAAGTCCAACAATGGGCAAACAACCATTCAGGAAACCATATATGGATGCATAGAAAGAAACAAAAAGCCTCTGAAAACGGTTATCTGCACCCTGCAGTAAATACCTCTGCAAAACTTCCAGGATTAGTATTCTTTATCTGCTCACAATACGAAGGAAGTAGGCAATATCCTTCTTCAGAGGAGCCATATATTGCAGCAAGACCACGTTCCTTTGCACGCCAAGCTTGCTTATATGGTATTGTTATCCCATATTGTTTATGGATGTCATGTAAAATATCTTTTGGTTTGTAATTGATATTATCTCGCAATCTTTCCTCGATAAAACTCACAATCCAGTCAACAGAAGCCTGGTGGTGCCCATTATGTGCATTTCTCCCACAAGTATGTGTCCCCTCAAGACTTCTAATGGTAAAGGTGGGGGCATTAGGGAGCTTGACAGCACGAATGCGCCATGGACAGCCATCTGATGCACACTTAGCAAAGTAACGAATCAGGTCACTTTTAATGATATGAAGCTCAAAATGCTGTGCAATGGCTGCTTCTTTAATTGCATTGCGGAATGCTTTAACGTCAGGGAATTCTTGACCAACAGCAAATGAGTGATCTTCCATGCAGTGGAGTTATGGGTGCAAACTTCGATGAAGTACACATCAACCACTCAAACCTCTTCCCTCAGATGGGAGGAAAAAATAAGAAGGCCATTTTCTCTACTATATTGGCAAATGTAACCAGCCACAGTAAAATAAGCTTTCTCATGTAAACAACCTGCAATAATTCACCATATAACATTATCAAAATACATCAGAACTACTTCCAAGGAAGAAAAAATTCTAAAAGTTAATCGACTGAACAGGATTCTACAGAAAAGATAATAAATAGTAACTTCTTAAGCAAATTGTTACATCATAAACACGAAGGTATAAACAATTTCAGATACCAACACAACCACAGTCCACAGGAACAAGTTTCTGAAACAGAAACTAAAGAGAAGTAAAGACTTAAGTTTAAATGACAGGCTTCAGTGGGACTAGCAGTCTACATGCATGGAATTGCAATTTGTAACTTGAATGCCATATAAATGGTTCTCAGCCTATGCAGAGAGAGAAATTCATAGGGAGCTGTCATAGATCCATGCACACCAAAATGAGAAGAAACATTTCATATCAACAGTTGATCAGTCAATGGCAACCAGCAGAACAGAAAAAATGAGTATTCTATTGCTTTCAGTGTCTAACGTGGGTTTACCACTCACCGCTGGGTTGTGTTGTGAACCAGAAAAGAAGAGTGAGAGCACAAAATGCAAACTCATAGTTCATGTGACATGGAAAAGGAGCTAGAATTTAGCAGAATAAAAAATTAAAATAAAAAATCATGAGCTTAGATTGCATTTTGCCTCTAACCCATTGAGTATAATCTGATAAGTTCGTATAAACCAACGGGTGTATGGCAGATGACATGGTTCAAAACTCAACAAACATACTGGTCTACTCATATGCCAGGGTTTCAGCAACAGTATAAGAGTCTACTTTAAAAGTAATAGGATAATCAAAACTTAATTTGCTAGTACATAGCTGTCAAAGATATTATGCATCTCAAACACGTCATAAAAAAGTAGTACGAATTCAAAGTACCGTGAGATAAATTTGTACTATTAGTGCAAGCAGGCCATCCCGCAGCCATATGACACTCAATAAAAAAGAGTAATAAGAGCAATGCTGGTTGGACTTTCAGACGAGAAGAACAATCGTCCTTTTTGAAGTACACTTGTTTGTCAGTTATCACTGCCAAAATGTTGCCAAAGGAAATTAAACTAGTATAGCTGAATCACGTTTATTGCAACTTCTAACTATTGTCTTGTTGCAAGATCGAGAGAGCTGAAGAAGACAACTGGAAAAGGGAAGGGGGAACCAATTTTGTCGAAACAGACATGTGTTGATGGCGAACGTCTGCAATAGAATGCTACTAAAGGAATACTATATATTTTTAAGCAGTTGCAATTATGTAAACGTTAAAATGACAAAGAAAACAAAGACCCACACAAAGGGGAAAATTCAGTTGAACTTGAAATTAAAAGAGCCAAGAGAAAATCGTTCAACACAAATCCGTGTTATGCGGAATAAATTCAAACAACAAACATCAGAATTTGGTGATTGCATCCAAAATCCGTAGCTCGTTTATTGAGAAAACCAGCAAATCGCAAGAGATTTTGTCGCATAAAAAATGTTATAATTACCTGAGTATTAGCAGAGATGGCTTCTCACAGACCGAAGGAGGCGGATCCGAACACAAACTGCGATGCCATATCAGTGGATGAAGAGAAAATCAGATAGAGACACAGACAGGCAAAGAAGCTGATGAACATCCTGGGTATTCTTGCGAAAGATTAGGGCTGATTTGGGTCAGTCGAGGGTGTTTTCGTCATTCCACAATTAAAGAGAGTAAAACATGATCTTGAAAGGTGAAACGTCGATGTTGTGCCGATTTAAGAAAATTTTATTTCTATACGGTCTTTCTGTAATTTTTCACAAATCCTGAACAAAAATCCATTCACATGGACCTTGAGTTCTTTGAAAAGCGTAAGGGCATTTGAGCTTGCTAATATCGTTGTTTAGGTAGAATTGATTTGCAAACATGACTTTTTTGTTTTTAGCAAGTTGATTGAAACTAGAGCTAGAACTCAGAAATAAGTTACAAACACAAACAATTCGACTACTCATTTAAGATTGGACCTTGAAAGTTGGGATTTTTTTTTTTAGTATAAACAAATTTTAGGTCAAATTTTCGATTCCAAAACAGTAAGTTTAGACTCTAACTACTCATTTAAGTTTTTTTTTACTTCAAATTTTGAATAATTGTAAATTTTAATTTGTCCATGTAATTAGTTGCATGGTTTTATGCCCAATGAATATTTTACTTTATATTTTGTCATTTGATTTATGTATTTCTTACTTTTTGATTAAAACACAAGAATGACACAAATTGGTAATTATTTATTCAAAATGATGAAAATGAAGACATTGATGTTGTTGAGATAGTACCTCCATCTCAAGCAATTGCCTTAGTGGCGGTGACAAGATCTTAGATTGTGGGGTACAATATTTTTAAAATTAATAATTTAAAAATAATATAAATTTTACTTGAAATGTAAAATGTATTTTTTATATATAAGTTTTACCCATTTATAATTGGGTGTATTAATTAATAAATATGAGTTATTCTGTTATTAATATATTTATCTCATTCTATAATTACATTTTATAAGAGAGGGCTCCAATAGGAGTAAAAAGAAGGAAGAGTTGGCTGAAATTTTTAATAAATAACATATTTTGTACACTTTTATTTTATATTTTTGACTATATTTCATTGGTTTAGGCCCTTATATTCATGATTTTAACATTAAATTTGATCATTTTGCTCATTTTCATTGAATTTTGACATTAAAAGCATTTTAGTCATTTAGTACATTTAATTAAAATTAAATATTTTTAATTTAAAATTTTAATTTCTTAACACATTTTGTTACTTGAGTAATTTTTATTTTTCTTTTAAAACTTTAATTAGTTCAATTGCATAATATTAATTTAGTTTTTAGTTACTTTGTGTGGTTTGAGAAATTAATGGGCCAATTTAGTAATTTTGTCTTTTTTTTATTTTAAATCAGTTTTTTGACTTTTCAGAAAGAAGAAAACGCAGAAACAGAATCAGGCACACGTCAACATGTTCTCAGTGGAGCCATTCACGAAGAGGAGGGAAGGACAAAAACGAGAAACGGAACAGAGGCACGTGTTCATCACGCATGCCCATCACTCATTTCGACCTCTCCTCTCTGTTGCACGAGTTTGTGGCACAGGATTGCTCATTTTCCTCGGTCCAAAGATCTCGGACGCTCATCTCACAGCTTGACCACCACACGCCACAAGACGCAATCGCTCATCTTCTTTTCTCGGCCACCGCAGCACGGACGAGACAGAAATCTTCTTTTCGCGTCATCGCTCATCCTCTCTCAGTCCCAGTTCGGCCAGGGAGATTCATCACACTCGAACGCACAGCTCTCTTGGTTTCAGCCTGTCGCACGCCATTGCACATCTCCCTCAGGTTCAGTTCTTCGCACTCTACTCTACTGCAAATTCTTCACTCAGTTTCCATTCACTCGCATGTCATTCACTCACGGATTTGTCAAGCAAGCATCCATGGCAGCTCTTCACGGACGTTTTCTTTGATCAGTCATTGACGAGGACGAGATGAGTGGCTGAATTTTTTTTATAGTTTCTTCTGAAACTTTCACTTGAGTTTGTTTTAGTTCGTTCGTTTTTTTGTCTTGCTGTAACTCACTTATTGTTTGCATTGATTTGATGATTAGTTTTGGTTGATTTTTCATTCCTTAAGAGATTTAGATGCTATAAATTAACTTTTTAATTAAATGATGTATGCTATATATTTGAATTTATATTTTAATATTATTATTGTGTAAATGCTAATATGACAAATTCTTGTGATGATATATGAATCATTTAGCTTCTATTTAGGTTTTAGATAAGTTAATTACTTAATTCTTGATTGATTCTAAGTATTAGAATATGGTCAAGAAAAGTGTGTTAGTCTTAGTCTAAACCACAATCACCTAGTCTTAATGGTAATTAGCATTTTAGTTAATGTCAAATGAGTTTGCAAGAATTGAATGAATTAAATTTAAGCTTCTATTATGGTAAAAGTGGATTCAAACCTTGGACAATTTACTTGTTTGTTCAGCTAAATCAATTGCACTTCATTTCACATTTTTTTTAAAAATTCAAAAATCATAAGCACATTTAACCTTGAATTTTCTTTTCAAAACCAACATTATTTTTAACTTATAAAAATGGTTTATGAATTGTCATTGGTT